GAATATTAAATTTTAATCAATGAATGAATCAATCAATCCAGTAAGTATCAGGCATAACTTTAAATGTGTATTTTAAACAGTTTAAAATCCAAATACTCAAACTGAAAACAAGGACATGCATTAACAGTATTCCCCTCAATATTATAAATGGAAATGAACAAAGTAAATATCGCTATAAATATAAAAATTTCTTCTTACCACATTACTAAATCAATGTTTGGAGGTTTTGTTTTACTTTGCTATTTGTTTTAGTACTTTATTTAAAAATGTACTCTAACACATGCCATCACACACACACAATAGATAACTAACCATATTTAATATTTTCTGGACTTCTTTGTAGCTCAGTAACTACCCACAAAGTTTTGTGAACTCTTCAGCTTCAAGTCTGAAGTCAATCTATGCTGGCCAATAGAAAGGACACCTGTGCAATTACTACATTCCTATTTCAGAATGTTAAACATAATACTGAGTATCCACACTGGGATATTACATTTGGAGCAGTGATAAATGCCAAACTGAAATTACGCAGAAGCCACATTATTTAAAAAAGGCCATCCTATAATATCAGTATTAAAAAGTAGTAAGTATAAAGAGCAGTATTTAGTTTTAAATAACAACCACCAACTAAGTACCCTCTATGGCTAAGTAAACATTAAAATTAAAAGATGACGTTCTAATGAATTACAATATAAAAACATTCTTCGGAAAGAAAAACTGGGAGACAAAAATAAAGTTGAATCACAAAATATATCATCTAAACTTATTACATACCAACTACGCAAGAAATTTATCTTGTGATAAACAGAAATCCAAATGATAGTATTTTCTTTCATAGTATCCCTAAATTCTCCTAAATATATAATAATCCTTTTGAATGATTTTAAGTGACTTGAAAATTAAAAAAATTATTATGAAAATAATTCTGGTCACCTACGGCACCAACATGTTATACTATGTAGAAATATTCTACTGAAAAACTACTCAGTGACACAGTTCCACACAAGAGGTTTCATTTTATAAAAATCTTAAAAAGGCAAAGAAGTTTCTAAAACAAAGAAAATTTTTCCAAAGAGATACAAGGTTTCATTAACTACCTTAACTCTTTTACTAAGCATCACCTTTCTGCCCCTTTTTGGATATCAAGCAATCAATAACAATGTCACAAAAGAATGTTTACCAAGATTGGGGGGGGGGGATGTCACCTGTAATGATTCTGTATAAAAAATGTAAACAATCTTAAAATAGGTGAGGAAAATTTTCACCATCCCACAACCTCACTCTATGGATATTTTATGTTTCCCAAACTGAAATTACCAGAAGTTTATAAAACTGGTGTGCAAGGTTTGTTCTGTGTGTGTGTTTGCTAAAAACAAACATCCCCACAAGTCTCTTATTTCCAAATACTGTGCAAGAGTCACTACTACTCACCGCAAGTAATACTGTTTTAAAGCAAAGGCAGCGTTAGAACAACTTCTGGGAAAGTTGAACTCTTCAACAATTTCTCCCCACTGATTCTTCTCCGAAACCTGTTAAAAACACAGCCACGCTTTTCTGAAAATGCACAATCCAAGAGAACTCTAACCTAACTATGAAATAAATACCCATTCTACAGAGATCTGTAGATACTCAGGCATCAATGGGTGTTTCAGATCGATCCGTAAGAGTTACTAAGCAAGGGCTGCTTTAATCACTGTGTTTTCACCCAAGAGCCTTGTATTTAATAGCACTTGTTTTGTTTGGGGGGGCGGGAGGGGGGGTCTGGTGGGTTTGTTTTGTTTTTGAAGCCCGGACAATAACCAATCGCAAGTCCCTCTGTCGCCCCCTTTTAAATCTCAACGCGGTCCGTTTACACTTAAAAAAAAAAAAAAGTTCAAAAGGATCAATACTGTTCCGGACAGCGACGTCCGCAGGTTCTGGGGGGGGGGCCGGGGCCGGGGCCGATTCCGATCCCTCTCCCAGATCTATCCATCTCCATAGGCCCTTCTTTGAGGCCTACAGCTTCTGCCTAGCCTTGAAGCCTAAGATGGCTATTTGGAGACAGGTCCTGGTTTCTTTTGTTAGCTGTATAAACCGAGGGCGACGGGGCCGAGGCTGTGCCCCCGGCTGCCGGGATCATTTCGCAGCCGATTATCGATGTTAAACCTGCCCGCGCTAATTTTGAGTTGCACGAAAACTGCTCTCAGAGTCTGTGTGTCTCTGTGTCTCCGCCTGTGCTAGAGCGGCAGCGGCGGCAGAGCTGAGTCGCGAGCGAGCGGGCGGGCGCGGGCACGGGGCGGGCGCGGGGCTTCGGCGGGCGCCCCGCACGCCCGCACTCCCCGCCGTGGCGCTCAGACCCCGCCGGGGCGGCCGGGCTGCGGGCAGGGCGCGAGCCGGCGCCGGGCCGCCCGCCCGCCCGAGCCCCGCGCCCGCCGCGCGCACGCGAGCCACCAGGCCAAAAACAGCCCCGCCGCCGTCCGCCTCCGTGCCACCGGCTGCGAGCGAAAAGAACGCCTTTTGCCCCCGCGGGCCACCCCCCCGGCCCCGAGCGCCCACTGCGGGGTCAAAGGAGACTTTTTGGAGGAGGCCAGCGAGAGGGAAATACAAATTAAAACTTCCACTCACCTTCGCGAATCCGCCTAAAGTAGTGACTCTGGTGTAGAGACCGTGAAGATCCAGCTCCTTCCCACCCACCGCAGGGATTTTTTTAAAAGGCGACCTGCGGGAGACAGAAAGCCCAGCACTTGTCAGCCGGGACCCCGAGCCGGCCCGGGCGGGAGAGCCCCGTTCGCCCCAGCTCGCCCGGCGCTGCCCCCCCGGTTCTGCTCTCACCCTCTGCTGTGGTGGAACTGCCGCAGCTCGTCCAGGAAAGCGAGTCCCTTTCTCCGCTCATCCGGAGGCGCCTTCCCCGTCGAGTTTGCCATTATTTTTTCAAAGGAGGTTTAAAAAAAAAACCCAGATCGGTGTTTTAAAAGCGCCCCCCGCTCCCTGCGCTTCCTACCAGAGCCCGGAGCCCATTCCTCGGCCGGCGGCGGCGGGGCTCAGTCATGGGCCGGCGGTGGCGGCGGCGGCGGCGGCGGCGGCGCAGGGAGGGAGGGAGGGAGGGGGAGGAGGAGGAGGAGGAGGGGAAGGAGGGAGCGGGAGGCCAGGGGGAGAGGAGGGAAGGAGGGAGGGGGATTTCTAAAAAAGTTTAAAGAAATCGGAGCGAAACTAGAGGGGCAGGCGACTGCCGGATCCGCGCGAAGCCGCGGGGCGAGCGCGGCCCCCACCCCTTCCTTCCCTCCCTCCCCGCGGCCCGGCTCTCGCCCGCCTCTCAGCTACGCCGGCTCTGGCGGCTCAGCCCGGGGACGCGATTCAACATGGTGCTGCTGCCGTGGGCGCGCGAGCGAGCGAGGGGCAAGGCGAGCGGACGGTGAGGGGTCGGGGAGGCTGGAGGCCCGGGAGTTTCGGCGGCCGCGGCGGCGGCGGCGGCGGCGGCGGGGCTGGGGCAGGCGGGGCTGGGGGTGGGGAGGGGGAGGTCTGTGTGGTGGTTTGTGGAAAGCGGGGCGACAGCGTGTTTTCCGGCCGCAGCTTCGCGGGGCCCTTGCACACATTCATGCGCGGCCTCGGCCGCCGCGGCCGGGGCGTCCAGAGCAGCAGGCACCGGCGGCAGCCGATCCGCTGCGCGCTGCCCGCTCGCTTCCCTCTCCGTCAGCCTCCTTCTCTGCTGCCGCCAGCGCCGCCGCCACGGCTGGGCAGCTAGCGCCGCACAGCGACCCCCGAGGGCCGGCCGCGGCACTGCGTCTGGCTCCACACCGCCCCGGCAGCTCCTCGCGGGGAACAATAGACTCGGCTCGCCGGGTTTAGGGTTCATCTGCAATGTGCCGCACATTTCACACGCACACAAAGCCGGCGGAAAGGGGGGCGGCGCGGGGAAACGGCCACTACCGGTTGTTTCAGGGTTAGGGGCGGAGGCAATGTTAGCATCCCTGGCCCAGCTGTTGGGAGGGCTGCCTGGGAGTCCTCTGCCCGCCCGACTGAACCGGTGTGGCTCTCGGAAGGAAAACGAACCTCAGAAGGGCAGCTGCTCACGCTACGCATCATTCACAGATTGGAATAAAGTCAATATGTTATCTCTTTTTTTTTTAAAGATCTAAAGGAATCGGCTTTTCTGAGCCTTGCGCTAGTATTTTGGGCTTCTGGTTAGCACATTTTCCATTGAATTATCCACAAACTTACTTTACCAAACTATAAATTAAATAACAGTGTGAACTGTCCTAGTTCTGTGAAAATAAAGTAATGCTCTTAATTCATCTTGCCTTTGGTTGGTTTCACGTATCAAACTAAATTATGCTATACTGATTTATACAAACGGTAATTAAACCGGTTGGGGAGTAATCTTTTGAACTTTGACAATAATTAGCGTTTATATTTTTATATTAAGGTATCTTAAAAGTAAATACGTTGAAAATATGAGTAAAACTTTGTTTTTCTTTATTTTCTCTCACCTGTCTTAAATGCGATGCCCGTTTAAGTATTTTTGAAGATTAAAAAAAGGCTGCTTAAATGGAGACCCAACATCTCAACAAATACTAAGTTTGCATTTACAAGGGGTTTGGTGTTGGCCCTTAGCTACAGATGTTAATTAAACTTAACAATACATGAAGCATATCATCATTCCCATTTTAGTGATGGCCATTACGGGCAAAGTCACTGACTAACCCAAGGTCACAGGCTAGTAAATGTCTGGATGGATTATTTGAGGTAGTGGTTCCAATGGAAACATTATTTGGTGGTGAAAGAAATTATGTAACATAGCCCAGCATGCTTCCGGTGCTCACTCTAGGAAACGAATTTATTTCCCAAGTAAAGTTTGTCTCTTAAGTGGGGTCAGAATAAGGCTGTGGCTAGGAGGTTCCTGACACTCAAAGGCCAGTGAATGTCTCGGCATTCGCTTTGGGCGCAGTGAGGGGCGGAGACCCAGCCGGGGGAGTGGAGACGGCGGCCAGCGCCGAGGGCGAGGGGGGGGGCGGGGTAGAGGGGAGACCCGGTCGCCAGTCCCTGCCCCAACCGGTCCTCCTAGGGGTGGTGGAGATGTGGGCCGCAGAGCTGCTTGGCCTGGCTGTGCGGATTCCCTAAACGCCGCACTTGAGCACGGCCCCTTACGTAACTGTCAGCGCCGGGGATTCCCTAGAGGGGGTCATTCTATTCAACCATTACACACACCCCGGGCTTCTGCAGCCGCTCCGCCGCCGCCTCACAAAATGGCGGCGCCCATAGAGGAGACAGCGGCCGCCTCCTCGGCCCCATTTTGTGGGAGGCGAGAGATCTGTCAACATGGAAAACCGCTGAGGATGCATCTGAGTTTGAAAAGCCTGTTTAAGGGATGCAGTCGAAGGGATCTCATTCAACGGAAAATGTCAGCGACTTCCAGCACCATCTCCCCGCTCTTTTTTTCCATTTTCTTGAAGGTAACGCCAGAAGCCTCCAGGGTAATTGTGACTGAGAGAAGAAGGGAAGGCTGCGGCTGACTTCTCCCGGGACATGCCGCGGCGTCTTTGGTGGCTTTGGTTGCTCTTCTACGCTGCCTGGAGCTGAGCGCGATGCCGCGGAGGCTCGCCTGGGCCGCAGCGACCCTTTCCGAGGGGAGAAGACCGGGCGACACGGGGCGCAACCGGCGTTCTCTACCGGGCCACTTGTGCAGCGAGACTTTTAGGTAGTTTTTAAATGACAGAGTTCACGGCCCTGTCGATACCCCTCGTCTGAGTCCTAGGCTTTGGGAGCCCCGAAGGCCCTGCTCCGGGAACTGGCGGTCGGCCGGGAGCCGGGAAGCCGTGCTGCCCGGAGCCGGTGACCCGCGGATCCCGCAGCCGCAGCGTGCCGGGTGGGCGCAGCGCGGACCCGGGCTGTGGATGGTGGTGTTGGGGCATAAGTGGGAACGAAAGCTCGTACACTGGAATTTCAGTCGTCCGAGTCGGGACCTGGGATTGTGTTAATGGCTCAGGTTAGACGTTAAAACGTCTTTTCTAGTATCCCACTCTGCTGTGGGTATACCTGATTTATTTCTTATTGGAAGGGTAGAATGGAGGGGTGAAATTTTATATTTTCATGTTGCAAGCGGAGGTTGCCACTTTAAGCGACTGACTGCGATTAGTATGTTTGTGTGTATACACACATGCATGTACAGTAGTGTGTTTTCCTTTTCAGTACCAAGGCTAAAGACCTGAAGTGTGGTACTAACGTTTTCATGCCTTTCATAGAAATTTAAGATGTGATATGTAACTGGAAAGTTGACTCGGAAAAAAAATTTCTGCACAGGAACCTTCCATGTTCAAAAATGGATTCCTAAAGTATGCCTGATGGTTAGAATTTAAATTCATAATACTTTGGATATGCTCTAGTTAAAGAAAAAACACTAACATTTGTCGGATTACTACGTGTTTCAACTTCCCCAAGCCTAGAAAAATGTAAGACAGAGCAAACTGAATATGAATGGTATTTGCCTGTAAGAGGAAAGAAATGGTTTAAGTAAAAAGAAAAATCATCTGATGAAAGTTAAATATGAGTTACACTAATAATTAAATTTTTTTCCAGTTAAAGCAATCATTTGTATTTTTATATGACCTTTTTTTAGGTGTTTTTTTTTGTGTGTGTTTATTTTGACCCTCATATTTCCTCTCTAGTGCAGAACTGTGTCTTTCTGCAGACTGCGTCTCAATCACTGAGTCCCATGTCCCATCCTCTGCCACACCCTGGTTGCTGCTCCTGGTGTGTGGGTTACAAAGATACAGTCTCTGGTCATGTCTGTTCCCACTGATGTTCTTTATATTTAATAAATTTGGTTACACTAATCAGTCTGTATCTCTTGCAAGAATACCTTGTCTTAGCATCCAAGTACCCAGAGAACATTTTTATGGGATTGCACTAAAATGTCACCCTAGTGCAGAGTTATTAGAATTTTTTGTGCCAAATTGCATTTCCTGTAGTGGGCAGCATAGAGCAAGTGGATCCTGGAAAAGAAATGTCTGAGATGTCCCACAGTTGTGCAATAGATATTCTCCAGCTAATTTGATAAGATATAAATAAAATGTACCTCATGATTTTCAAACAAGTGGAAAATATTCCTATAAAAAATTACCAATAACTGAAAACTGTTGAAACTCACTTTGTGTAGTTTACTCTTTTAATGAGAAATGTTGACAAAGGCTTTTGATGTGAAAAATCCAAAGCTTTTTTTTTATGGTAAATGCAAACCTTGAACTCCATAATTAGAAGTTTCTGTTATTTTATATGACTCTCTGATCCTGATCAGTTTTAATATTTAACCAAGAAATTGTGATGTTTAAAATTCCCTCATTCAAGTAAACTTAAAGAAAACTACCAAATTTCAAATCAGTCATGTCAGGGATATGATTACAACAGCTGAAAAAACTTAATTGAGGAACTAATAAGTCAATTCATTGGAGAAATTTTTGGATTTTAGATTAAAGTTTAAAAGAATTGACTGAACAAGGCTATTGAACTTAAATTTGTATTTCTTTAAAGAATTTTAAGAAGAAAGGTAAGAACACTTTCACCACTTGCTGCTCTTATGTGTTTACTGCTGTAATTTTTTTATGTAGGCTAACTTTCTGATTGATCCCTAAAACTTCTGATAAGCTATTTTGTTTCTTTTTTTCTTTTCAGTAGATATTAGAGGTTATGCTTTGTACATAAATCCAGTGCAATTTATTTTTTAGAAAAGGATAATTTACCACTAGAGATTTTTTAATAAGACTTCATATGCAAAAAATTAAATTTTAGCCAATTGTAATATTCTTTGGAGCATCATTCCCAAAGGTGCTTTTGACTAGGAGTTAGTCTCATCAATTGTTCAGGCCACTTGTATGATGATGAATGTTTTAAATTGTTATGGGTTCAAGATGCTGTATTCTTATATTTTTTCAAATTTCATCTCTTGATCGTTGAAAAGTAGGCCCCAAACTAAAGGTGCTCGTTATAGTATCATCACAGTTTATAGTAGTTTAATACTTTGTTTACAGCGTTTAGTAGCTGAAAGCTAGGAAAGCCAAAATACTAACCCAGGGAAACATTTATCTTTTATTATTAATTATTGTATGTATTTGTATTACATCTGTAAAATGACTTCTTCCAACCTCTATATTTATTGAGTGCCCACCTTGGCCACAAGGTGAGAGGAGAAACTGAGTTAGCGCTCAAGGAAATTTTACTCCATTACTAGATTTTTTTTAACTGCTAGCTTTAAAAGATCATAATAAAATATTCAGACTGTAGGATTCTTGATTTTTAATACATAAGCAGAATTTTTAGCATAAATTCAAATTTTTGTTTAGAATAGAGACAAATATAATTATGTGCAAAACTGTTATATTAATGTTAGGATCAATGTTATTGTTATTCAAAGTGCTGTAAAAATATTAACAACATTTAAATCACATTGTTTGAAAACTCAGAGCCACAAAAAAAAATCTGATTATAATAATTAACTTTTTAATTATGGGAAAGACAAGGGGATGTTCAGTGAATGTAAAAAAAATATACTACTGAGCAAACAAACAGGAATTGTTTCCATGAATTTTGATCTTCTGTTTCAATTTTTTGGTACATTGACTCTTCTGACATTAAATTTTACTATTTATAAAAGTAAACCCCAAAGTCACACTAATTCTGTATTTAATGCAGAACTAATTCTTGAATAGCTGTAAAGCTTTAAGAGTTGGCAATCTTGTTGTCGAAACAAAATAGGAATTAAGCTGAAATGCAAAACTATGTAATAATTAGGTTTCATAAAACTTCGTAACATTCAAGAATCAGAGTAGTATTGATTTAATAGTAATTTATTTAGCTTTTGTTTTTCTCTAAAAACTTACCACAAACTATTCATATGTAGTATCAAAATTGAAAGTCACCAAGGCCAGTGTAAATTGTTGAAGCTTATTGCTGTACTTTAAGGGCAGTTCTAACTAATGGTTCAGTGGCAACCATTTTTTTTTAAAGTTCTGTAGTTCTTTAACATAATTTGTAGTATGTACAAGTGAATTAAAAGCAATCTAGAATAATCTGTGTGTGGTAGTGTACATGAGAAATTTATAAATGGTTGTTTAAGAGTACAAAGTAACTCACTGAACATTTTGCAGTTAACTACAGGGCTTCAAGGTATTTTAAACAAAGATAGAAAAATTTGAGAGTAATGTGTTACATTTTTATAACCAAATTTTCCACTTTTTAGCAATAGTAATATTAGTAGCAGTTAGCCATTAGTGATTATAGCCTAAATAAATATGAGCTTAGGTCCTATTCAAATGTCTATTACTTTTAACTGCGTTTAAAGACAGATTTCCTCAGGGCTAATTTGGTTAAAAGATAGTCTTCTGTTCGTCTGTAAATAGAAAAGAAGTCTCCTTCTCTTTAGGTTATGCAGGAATTTGCTCTCTTTCCAGTGAACTAAATTTATCCTGTATACAGCCTTTTGCTAACCTCAATTGTTTTCCTTCTCCATTATAGTTGGGGCCACCATAAATGGTCATAATACCCAGACTACAGAATCCTGAGTGGATTTGTGCCCACCACAGATAGTCTCCTTCCTCACTTATCCTTGTTCTCAATATCAATTTCTAAAGAGACTTCCGAATGTATATTCCCAGCTACATGAATCAATTTGTGTACTTGTATGGTGTTCAGGTAGCTGGCAAACCCTGTGAAACAAGATGTGTTTATTGCATTTTTCTAGGGAGAAAGTCTCAGCAGCCATGACATCTTAAAGAACCCTGTGATGCCCAAAAACTTAAAGCTTTGTTTGCTAGTGACAAGTTTTGAGGATTGCCTGAGGTGTTGCTTTTTATTTTGTGTGTCGTTGGCCTCTGGGCTTGAAGCTTTAGTTAAGGAATAACATTTTAGTTCACCAAATTTTAAGAATTATAATAAACAAGCAAAAATCTATTTCTGTTTCTAAAGAAGAACTAGAATAGATTTTTAAAGACAGTTTAATTGCATTTAACTTTCAATTTGTCCTCTGTTGAAAATGTACAGATAAGAGATTACATTTATTAAAAATAAGCCCCAAACATAAGCCTTCAACTAATTGGGAATGCCTAGGGATTTATATGAATTTATTATCCATGTGTGCATTGTTGTGTGTACTTTGTGTTCACAGATGACACTGATCAGAATCTTTCCAATGGTGTGTTTAGGACACACTGCCATTTTCCTGTTCTTGTACTCACTTGCTCTGCTGCACTTTGCTGCAGCTTCTGTGGAATGTACCTCAGAATTGACTCAGACCTTGCTTTTAAGAGATCTATCAGCGGGGCTACTTTATCCCACAGCAGGTTCCTGTAGCTTATTTGTGGACCCAATGTATGATAATTGGAATTTAAAGGGTATTACATCAGATTGCAGTTCAGCGTAGTTTATTTTTAAAAATGCTAACTACTTCATCCCTAAGCTGTGCATATTCCAAATTGATAAATGGATATTATTAATACATTAATTATTTCTGTGCCCTTTTTCATATGTAGATTACTATATGCATATTTATTATTTAAAATCCACAATTCTGTGCATTGTTTGAAGGAAGGGAAAATAGCACTTGTTCATATTTTCCATATATGTTAACATTAAGATTTTGGCCCACTCCCCACTGGATCAAATAGAAAGGGCATATTTGAGAGAAAAATATGTGTTTTACTCAGACTCTAATAATTAGGCTGATGCACTTGATTTATGTTATACATTGAGCTCATTCTTAAAAGGTAAACATTTTACAGTAAGCCTTGTGGCTTACAAATTAGTGCTTTTTCTACTAAATGTACTTTTTGCCTTGCTAATAAAATCCAATTTCCAGAATCATAGTTGCTAAGCAGATGTGCATAAAACCATAAATTTATTGAAATCATTTATTATTTAAAGAGTAGTATATAAAAGTTTAAACAGAAGCCATTGATCAGTGACAGTAACAGAAAATAAGGAAAATTAAAATAGAATTATAGTAAAATGAACTCAAAGGCCTTTCTTTAGGGAATTATTGGGAAAACTGAGCTCAAATGTGCAGTCTGGGTCTGCTTGGGCAATACTTTATCTTAAATTAGAATCTGTGGGAACTCCCTTATCACTTCTCCTTAGACTTTCTTTGCCAGTGTGTACTACTTGTTTAGCAACCAGGTGAGAACATTTCAAATGAGTCTTTTAAGGGTACAACTTAACAATATTATTGCTACATATGGCTAACATTTTTTGTCTCACAATACCTTGTACTACTTTATAACTGCTACATGTCCTATAAAAGGCTACCAGCCATGTAAATAGGCCCTGGCTCTCAGCCTGGTGCAACTTGGCAAATTCTTTCTGACATAGCTTGAATTGCCAAAAACACGGGGGCATAATTCCTTCCTAGTGAGAGCATACATCCTATCTTTGCCGGCTAAGATGAAATCTGAGCCATGTGATTCTATATAATCTTAGTGCAATGGCCATCCTCTCAGTGAGCAGATTTAGAGAAGTAGTTTTGTCCTTACCTTATTTTAATAGTTTTTGGTCTTTCTGGGATTGTGTATAACTTTACTTGGGAATATTATTTCCCTAAACCTTTGTGCTTCACAGATGTGACGATTTCCCCCAGGAAGTATTGGAAGATATGGAGCCAGGCCACATGTCTGTGACCATGAATGCACATGACCTCAACAAATGAAAAAGGTGTCTTTGTAAGTTATCATATTCTTTCCTAAAGTCACGAGTTAAAGCAAGAAGTTTCACCCAGAATCAAAGTACCAGGTAGCTTTTTTTTCTTTGGTACAGCTCACTTCCCATCAACATAGTGTAAGAATTTGAGGACATCAACCACTAAATAAAAGGCAGGTACCTCCATATATTTTCCCACAAATTTTATCATGATAAACTAGTGCCGTACTCTGGCAATTAAAAATGACTTTTACCTCCAGCTGTTGAAACATTGCACGTATTGAGGCAAAAGACACTGCAAGAAGGGTTTCTCCCTTAGTGTGTGTGGTAATTGGAAAGAAACCTACAGTTAAGGAATATGTTGTGTATCTTTTGAGTTACCATAGCAAAGGTCCATTATATTTAGTAAAGTTAGTTTTACTCAGTCTTTGGTAGTAGATGCTCCTCACCTTATAATTGAAACTCAATAACAAAACCAGAAAGTTCAGAAAAGGTAGTCCAGCAAGTAACAACCTTCACAGTGCTTGCTCAGTGTTATACACTTCTCATTCTAGGGGTGGTCATTTACCTGTCTTCTTTGGTGAGAGGTTAGCAGTTGCTTTCTCTTGTGTTGACTGATAAGTGTCAAGTAAGGATGTCTTTCCTAAGAGGAAAAGTGATTAAATAGGTTCCTTGCAAAAAGATTTTCAGCAGTAGATCTGCATTAAAAGTTCTGTAGTCTTGCTTTGGCTGGTGTGGCTCATTTGGACTGTCTCCCACAACTGAAGGATCACGGGTTCCATTTCTGGTCAGAGCACATACTTAGGTTGCAGGTTCGGTCTCTAGTCGGGCCACATACAGTCTCCAGTTTGGGCGTGTGGAGTCCTTGGTATGGGCGCATATGGGAGACAGCCAATCTATGTTTCTCTCTCGTGTCAGTGTTTCTCTCCTTTCCCAAGTTCTGTAGTCTTTGAACCCAGTTCAGAAGTGGCCGAGGCCAAACCTCAAAGCATAAAAGCAAAAGATGGGCTGTATTTAAGGTAGACAAATTATAATCAAGTCAAGAGCCATCGAATGCAGTGAGAGGCAAGACCTTACTGTTGACAGGCAAGTTAAGTACCACCTTCTGTAGTTTTAGTTGTTTCATGATGGATTCTCTTGGAACAGGTCTGGAAGAATTTCAGACATGTATGAAACATGAGGTTGAATTTTCTTCACTGGAAGGCCAAGGTTAGGACAGAAGGTCCACTAACTATGTAGGCGGAACCAACATTACCAAGAGCTATCTGTAAGCTGCCACTAGTAGCCTGTGATTCAAGTGGGAAGGGTCCAAGAAACCAAAAATTAATAGTAAATTGTTTAATGGATGAGATATTCATCTTAAACATCAAGTATAGATCCAAAACAGAAGACCACTGTACCTGACAGGTAGTCGGGAAGATCTGAAATAGCCCCCTTATGTGAGGTTCAGGCCAAATTTTCCACTTACAAACCTAGATGGGGTTGGGTTGCAGTGGATACCTGGAAATCTTGTAGACCATTAATATTTTGAGTTGTTTTTTTAATCCAGGTTTCTTAAAAACACGGGCAGCATGCCTGGCCACTTTGGTTCCGCTTCTTCAGAATCCCACGTAGATGTTAGATTGTCCCTGTTGTTTCTAGATGGAAGAACAGGAAAGACTAACTCTGTAGGACTTTACATATATAACCTCCTTTTACAATCTGTCTTAAAAAGTATATTCACTGGTTATTATCACTAGACAAAATGTTGTCTTGTGAGGTTTTAGCAATAAAGGCTTTTGTCAACAATCAGCTCTTGCATATAAGTATGTGTCTGTCTATTCTGCAAAAGTACACATAATCACTAAAATATATCCTATGAACAAAACATATATAACAGCTGCGGCACACTTGTGTTTTGCAAGAAATTTTAAAACAATACTTGACTAGTCAGAAGCACTGACCCCTTTTCCCTTAGGTTGTCAAATTGTCAAATAAAGGAATGACAACAGCCAACCCAATAGCCATTTGTTGTGAATTCCTATTTTCAACCATAAATACATATAGGTCATGTGATAGAGTTTTGTCTTAGGGTCACGTTGCATAATAAGGTTGTGTCTAATTGGTTAATTCTTGTTACCAGAAATCCTTATAAACAAGGGTAGGCATCTGATTTTTTAAAAAGTCACTTTGGAGTAAAAAGGGTAGGTAATTTTTTATTTTTTTGGTAAAACAAAGTTACAGCTATTTTTTGTCAGATCAGCAAAAAATACATTTTTTTTGGTGTGCTGCAGAATTTTAGTAATTTATGTATGTCATGAGATGAAAAAGGTTGAAAATCATTGATATATAATGTCAACCTAAATATTTGCCTAAGGCTTCCTGGAGGAATGATTTTATTTATTTATTCTATTTAATTTATGGCCTGATCTTAAAAAAGAATCACATCTAAATGAGTTAGCAGGGGAAACAAATTGGTTAATAAAGATAAGCGGAGCAATGCCTGTTGAACTAGAAATCGCCACAGCCTTAGTTTAGTAAGATGAACAACATTTTGTAGTAGCACAGCTCCAGAGACTATAAGGACTACTAGATATTTCAGTTCTTCCACAAGTGATGAACCTTTGTTGTTTTTATAATTTTCTGCAAGAACTTCCCAAAAGCTTGAGGAGAATCAGTTACGACTTTTGAGAAGTGAAAGTATAATAATCTCAGTGAGTACAGCACTTTCTGCCACCTACGAAGAATGTGGAGAAAGCAAAGCTCTTTACTACCTTGAGGTGAAAACAGACTGCATACGAGAGACCAATTTATATTTTCTCTGAGTGTTTGTTTTTTGTCGTAGCCCTATTATTAATCGAAACAAGATGATAGTCAAAATTTTTCCTTTAAATAAGAAAGATGTACGTGTGTGTGTGACCATTTATATGCAAGAACAGGGATGTGCCAATGATTTTTCCCTCAACTTAAGTTTGCAAAGAAACTTGCAGAAATAGAATGTTATTTTAAATATCATTAACAAGGCTACAAATTATTACATCCAATAACCAATCAGAATTACAGAATTTAAAGTTAATTATATTCACAGGATATAGCCATACTGAAATGCATTTGTCTAATAAGACTACATTTTTTGAAAGATATTTGCAAGGGCAGTTTTATGATAAAGAATAGAATTTTCTTCTATTCTTTATCATAAAACTGATAAATTCTATTCTTTCTGCTTTTCAGCAGCAATAGGGAAGAGGGTATGTTTTCCCCTTTTATTTAATCTTGCTAAAAATTTTTCTAAACTGCAGTTAGAAGTGACTAAATCCTGGAATTCCATTAGTTCTTATGAAGAGAGAAGAGCAGGTACAAACTTAAAATCCATAAAAGGGCTTAAAGATAATGAATGTTAACAGATGGAATGTGGAGCATGTAGTGCCTCACCTCTATGTGTAATTGAGACTATAAGTAAAATTTATTGCAGATTGATATGTTTGTTTTAAACCATCTATATTGATAAGAGTAAATTTTTAGTAAGAGCATTATATACTTAAATCACCTGTTTTTAAAATACAATGGATTTTTTTAGCCTTTATAAAACATTATTTAAAATTACGAATAGTTTTTTGTGGGGTTGAAAAAGCTATTCTATTTTTTATTCTTCCCCAATCACTTAACCCCATCCTTCTAATTATTTTTATATTACTTTCCCAAGAATTTGGAAACTTCTCTATCTTTCATATATTTTCTGAAAGTGTGAAAAATATTAAAAGTTTGTGTTTTCCTTGCCTTTGGAAACATGTAAGAGTATATTTTAAAAACTGTTTGCCCAAATCAACATTTCCCAAAGTGTGCCCTGATCTGTTTATAGGTGCTAGATTAAAAAAAAAAAATGCAGTTATATAATTTTGAAAAATAATCAAGTTAAGCAAAGTTAAAATTTTCAACAAGATTTCTCAGGGCCTTCAGTATCCTTCTATGTTATCCTCTGGCTCTATGCTGCTTTCCAAACATACCTGGTCTTGTGATGGGATCGGTGTTCCAGTGGGAAAAACTTGGAAGTGCTGGTCTGAATACAGGGGTGGGCAAAAGTGGGTTTACAGTTGTGGGTCCGTGAAACATGGTTTAGCCTTGTATACTTTATTAATGATTTGTGTTACAACTGTAAACCTACTTTTGCACATCCTTATATTGTTACAAATGGCATATGCATATCTGAAACAAAAGTTCACAATCCTTAACTAGAGAGTGAACTGCTAGAGGGCAAGGGCCCCTGTTTATTTTTTGCAAACTCACATTACATGTAACCACTATAATCTTCAGTATATATTATTGAATAAGTTAATATAAATCTAGTAACTTCTTAAAAATATTTTATTTATTTATTTTTAGAGAGAGGGGAAGAGAGGGAGAGAGAAGGGGAGAGAAACATCCATGTGAGAGAAATACCAATGGTTGCCTCTCATACATGCCCCGGCTGGAGGCTGAATCTGCAACCCAGGCATGTGCCCTGGCAGAGAATTGAACCCATGACCTGCCTTGCTGGATGATGCCCAACCAACTCAGCCATGCTGGCCAGGGCAAATCTAGTAACTCTTGTAAATCTCTTTTTAAATATGAGCTCAATTAAGCTTCTGATTTGCTAAAGTGAACGATTATAAAATAATGTGTATTTTCTTATGTGTTATTTTTTTCTCTATACTTAGAAGAACTAGAATTTCTTTAATGTTCTGTTTTGTAGTTTTACATTTAAGATGGTAACCAGCTATTTTTTATGTCTGTTGAAGAGATGTAGACCTAACCATGTATGAGATCTGTTTGTAAACTTTGAAGCACTTCAATAGTGCTAGCTACAGAAATCAGAAAATTCACTGGCACCTTCCTTTCATTTCTTCCTAACATTTACTCTTCTAGGAATCTGAAACTTTTTTTTATCCTTCTTCACTCTGAACTCCTACCTCCCAAGAAGACAATTTGTCTATTTATGTTCCCATTCCTATCTGGAGTCCATATAGTTTCCCAGAATTCATGGATCCTTCACTTCCTTTTGCCCCAT